TGACAGAGGTGGGAATTAATACCTTTAATGACAGGGATTCAGGGCTCTGTAGCATCAGGTTTCCTGGGGCCTTCCTACCCTTGTCTTGGCTACTTAGCTCCTTCTCATCTTACCCAGCGGCTCAAATGCCACTGTTGGTTCTTTTCTTTTTCTTTCTTTCTTTCTTTTTTTTTAAAAATTCTGACTGTATAGTTAAAAATCACACACATATAGATTATATATAATATAGAAGTTAAATTTTTTGTGGCATTAAGTATGTTCATAGTACCACGCAGCTGTGAGTACCCACACATCTACTTGACTTGGCCAGGTCCTCCATCTGAAATCTCCCCTCGGTAAGTAACTCTCCCCACTCTCCTCTTCCTCATCATCCTTGGTAAGTATCTCTTTATACATTCCGTGGCTCTGAATACCCAGTCCCACTTTGTAGACCTGGAGAAATAGTCGACACCTTGTTTGAAGAGTGAAACCCTTTTCTTTTTTTTTTTTTTGGTTTTTCGAGACAGGGTTTCTCTGTGTAGCTTTGCGCCTTTCCTGGTACTCGCTTTGGAGACCAGGCTGGCCTCGAACTCACAGAGATCCGCCTGCCTCTGCCTCCCGAGTGCTGGGATTAAAGGCGTGCGCCACCACCGCCCGGCATGAAACCCTTTTCTAATCACTTGCTATAAAGAGTCCTACCTATGTCTTGCAACCATGTTACTTGAATTTATAAACCTAGCTAAGGTTGTACACAGATACTTCCTAACTTTTCAGTTGGGGGCATTTTTTTTTTCTTGGATTGATTTCTCACTATGAAAAGTATGAATATAAGCTTGACATGATGGCTCGCACCTGTAACCTTAGAATTTGAGAGGTGGAGGCAGGAAGCTTGCCACGGGATCTGAGGCCAGCCTGGGCCATAGAGTGAAACACCATATCTTATCCATCCCCCTAAGAAAAGAAAGAAAGAGAAAAAGAAGACTTTAACATTCTAGCATTTTCTGTAAGATATTCGTCCATTCATTTAAAAATATGTTGGACTTACACAGGCTGGTTTTATAGTCCATGTTCAATTCAGCCCCAGAACAAGGAACATCACCAAAGAGCTTCACGCCTCCCCAAACGTATACCCTCCATTCCCCAGACAAAACAACCAGTCTGCACTACTGATTTCCTTGCTTTTCCTCTTCTTTTTTTTTTTTTTTTTTTTTTTTCGAGACAGGGTTTCTCTGACTTTTCCTCTTAATTATCACATCGGTATATATATTTTTAAGGCCACATATTGTTCTGTGGGCCTGTATAAATGGAAACAAACATTTTCTGACTTTGTCATTTCACTTTACATTTTTGAGGTTTGCCCACCTGGGTGCATGTACCTGGGATGGATTCCTTTCCATTTCTTTGTTTTTGTTTTTGAGACAGGATCTCACTCTGTAGTCCTGGCTGGCCTGGAACACACAGAGATCTGCCTGCTTCTCTGCTTCCTGCGTGGTGGGATAACAGAGGCACACTACCACACCTGGTTGCTCATTTCCACTCCGTTTCCAGTCTTGTGCACATACTCTGGAACATCTATCTTTTTCAGGCTGGTAGGCAGGACAAGAGGACACAGTACATTTTCTACCTTACTAGCTAGTGGGATGCCAACAAAAAGGATATTTTCCACATGCTGGGGAGAGAGCTCAGAGCCTCACACTTTACTAGGTTGGTGCTCTACTATGGAGCTGTCTCCCCAGCCTAATTCTACCAATTTTCTGACATTATTTCACTTTAAACTCTACCAAGAGTACATGAGAGACTGTATGCTCCACATCTATCTTCGTTAACTCTTAACACTGGCTGAGTTTTTAAACTTATCCTAATTTGGTGACATAATATGGTAATTTCGTTGTGGTTTAACTTGCTGTTATCTGACTGAATTTTGTACATTTATAGACCATTTATGAGTCCTCTTCTGTGACATAACCTTTCATTAAAAATAATTTATAGAAATTGATTCACATATGTTCTTTATATATCTTGGATATTAATTCTTCATCAGTTTTACATGTTGCAAATATGTCCTCCTAGTTCTTAATTTAGAATGTTAAAAACAGATGTCCTTCCCTTCTTTAAGATGTGGTCTTGTTAAGTGGCCCAAGCTGGCCTCCAACATATTATGTCGCTCAGGCTGGCCTTGAACTTTCTCTATCAACCTTTGAGTAGCTAAGATTATGAGTTCGCACCACTGTGCCAGGTTTAGACAGTCTTCATTCATTTTTTTATTAACATTAGAATAAATTTTTAATTTTATTTTGAGATAGAGTATCACTGTGTATACCGGACTGTCTTTCAACTTGGGATCCTCCTGCCTCAACCTCAGTAGTGGTAGGATTACAAGAGTCCACACCATGCACGGCAATATTTTCTTTAGCTGTGTTTCTTTTTCTTGATTTTCTTTCTTTTAAAAAATGGGGGAGGGGGGAGTCTCAGTATGTTGCCCTGTCTGGCCTCAAAAAATCACCCAGCTTGAGCATTCTCATCACTGAAGCTTTTGATACAACCAGCCAGAGGCTCCTCACTTTAATGTAGCTGATCTTTACCCAGCTTTCCCTTTATACAAAACTTAATTTCATTTTGCTTCTTATGTTTTGTTTTAAAAAGCTATTTCTTACCCCAGTGTTATTTATTAAAAAAAAAAAACCCTCCATGTTGCCTTCCAGAAGCTTTATAGTTTTGCCTTTGCATTTCAGAATTTTAATCTACCTGGAATTGATTTTTGTATGTGGTATAATAGAGATTTAATTTCATTTCTCCATACAGATCTATACTCGTCCCAGCCACATCCATTGTCTAGTCTGTCTGTCCCACATTGATCTGCTGTACCATGTCTACAAAGATGAAGTTTCCAAGTGTGCATGGGATTATTTCTCTGCTTCCTGTCATCTGTTTGCTTTGCTAGAGTGTCACACTGTCTAAATAACGGTGGACTGAGAGTGCCTCTCATCTTCAGGGTCCACTGGACTTTTCTTATGGTCTTGGCTTCTTCAAATACAGTTTTTCAGCTTGTTGAATTTTGTGTAACCATTAGGCTTTGAGGTGAAAGGAAGTAGACTGAATCTCTGGATCCTGGCCTGTTTAAGTTTAAATAAACAACAATACAGCTGTCCTGGAGGCTAAGGCCTCGCACACAAGCTGTTGGGAGCAGAGGCAGGGGGATAACACATTCAAGGCTTCCCTAGTTGGTTTCATTCTCTTTAATGGTACAGTCGCTGAGGGAAGAGGAAAGAGAGAAGAGAGAGTGATCGCAGAGGGGTGTGTGTGTGTGTGTGTGTGTGTGTGTGTGTGTGTGTGTGTACATAAGCGCAACACACTGTTTAAAATGTGTAACTGTAAAAAAAGGAAAAAAAGGCTAGGCACATATAGTTCAGTGGTAGAGCGATTGCCTAGCATGCATGGGAAAGGACCAAGAATTTGGTTAGTTGAGCCAGAAGAAGTATCAACTAGAATTATAAATGAAAAATTAAATACCCTATTTTGTTGATGATAAAATAAGACTGATCATAAGAAACCGTAATTTTTATGCACCATCAAAACCACTGCCACTTACTAGAAGATTTGACCCAACTATACAATGCATCTTGATTTCAAAGGTTTTGAAATAAGGGGAGAATTTATTTTAGGGTTGATGTATTAAGCAATTGAAATTTAAAATTCAGTTGATCAATTAAATTGCATATGAAATGCAGTTGACGAGAAAATTACAAATATCTGATGTAAATTCATTCTCTTACAGGTAGCCCAGAAAGATAATGAAATAAGAATACAACATAATGGCTTCAAGTCTGAGAGGACGGCATGAAATGGCCTAATATCATCTAATCAAAAGCTCCAGATGGAGGTAATGGAGACTGGAAAGGAGACAACGTTTGAAAAACACAATGACTGAGAAAATTTGAAAATAGTGCTAATATCCAAATGTAGGAAACTAAATGAATCTTGAACAGAACGGAACAAAGCAGTCTGCACTCAGGCATATTATGATTTCTGAGGTGTAAATAAATGATAACAAAACTGTAGAACATGAAAAGCAAAGAGACCTTCAAAGCAACCAGAAATGAGCAAAAACCCACCAAGGAACTTGGAGAAGATAGACCAACTGATTAAACAGCAAAATGGAAGCCAGAACACCGCAGGGTACATTTTCAGTGTCGAACAGACAACAATCAAGTGGAATTTATACCCATTAAAACTCCTCCAAGAATGAGCAGAACAAAGGCTTCTCAAAGAAATCAAAACAATGACAAGAAAATTTTCAAGAGACTCCAAGCAAATGGAAAAATCACCCTAGATATGAGATGCACTTTCTGTGAGGAGAAGCCAGGGCTCTGAGGACCCAGGGGCAGGCTTGCTCGGCTCTCAGCTGTCAGCTGGCTTTTTAGGACTCTATGAATCTGCAAATACTTTGGTGGCACCCCATGTTGCACTTAGAAAGATGTTGTTGAAAAGATTGTGCCCTGCATCCTACTTGCTCTTTTTGGGCAGGATTGTTTGGGTGTGTAACCCTGCCCACTTGCAGGAGGTAAAAGTCCTTCAACAAACTTATTTAAGGACATTTCCAGCCCTTCAGTGCTTTTCCCCAGGCAGCACAAGCACGGTCACCTGATCTGTGCTCTGCATTGCCAACCCACCCGTTAGAAATAATAAGGGCCAGGACTAGTTTACACTGTTTTACTTCCAGATCTCTACCAAGTGTTTGGCACATAGTGGGTGTTCCAGTAGACTGCTTATTGAGTAAATGATTAATGAACCATTAACGAGGAGTGAGAAGCCAGTATGAAGTATTTTGTTAAACATATATACGTGTTTCAAATTTTGCCATTGGCTGTGGTACTCAGAGGGTGGATAAATTCCCACTGAACTCTGCTGTCTGAGACTGTAGGCATTCCCTAAGTGGGGCTATTTAAATTAATGAAAATGAAACACAACTAAAAATTTCTCAGGCATGTCAAGGGGCCAGTTGACTGTCCTCCTGATGATGTGGAGGTAGAACATTCCCATTATCGTAGAAAGTTCTATTGGAAGTGCTGCCATAGAATTCTCCAGAATTCCCAAGCGCTTCTCTTTCTCTCTCCTTACCCTTGTTCTCACTCTAATTCTCTCTCTCTCTTTCTCTTTCCAGCTCTCACCCATTCCTAAACCAAGTACAGGGGTATTTGTCTCATTGTTAGTGGCTTAAAATGATGCTTTTGAACAAGAGGATGCTGGGTGCTCTTGGTGACTAGTACCATTCCCACTTTTTTCTTTTGAATTTCTGAGCTATTATTTACCGGCTCATTCTTTTATTCCCATGGCTACTAAAGCAGTACAATCGCTTTCTTTCCTAGGTCCTTAAGCCCTTTGCTAATGTTACTTTCTGAGCGTTTCCAAAGCTGGGGTTCTAGGAGAGTTTGGCAGGTCCGAACAGCTGACCCATGAAATAATGGAGTAGGGCAGGGGGGTGGAGAGCGGGGCCAGCCATCAATAGAAGAGTGACCTCCTCAACACACATGGCCAGCTAATTGGCTATTGTGGGAAAGGATGGGTGGAGAGGGGCTGCTGAGAATCTCTAGCGACAGTTAAGTGGCCTTTGTGGACAGAAGAACTCTGTTGGATTTTTGGCTTGGAATCTTCCCACCTCTTTCAGATTTTCTTGTTAGATTCACCCTGTGTCATTCAGGCCCCATCTTTCACTTCATCCTTTCAAGATGACTACTTTGTGTACTGGCCTCTCCTTTGTTCTTACCATTCCCAAACTGTAAGGAGACTGTGTAGGGCTTCTGCAGGCCTGAGAACTGGACTTTGCTGTTTGTTGAGAACTGTACAAATGACTGCCATGGCCTTCACGGCCTGCAGAAATTGCTCCGCCTGTCTCGGCAGAGTGACAGTGACTGTCTGATGGCAGAGACGAGGCGTCCTGGCTGAATTCCTCCTCTTACACAATACAGACCTCCTTTCTTCCACTCTCCCTTCACCTTCCCTGTTCCAGCAGGAGTACAGACCTGTAGCCACGAGTTAATGCCTTCTAAATAAGAAGACAGTACGTGTGCCAGGTGTCACAAGCCAATTCATCCAGCTTGTCTCCTCTGATACTCCAGGTCTCCTGTGAGGTAGGGAGGGAAGGTCCTTTCAACAGCACCTGACTTGAGAGTTAGTTCCCTGAGAGTTGACAGGTCAAAGGCCCCAGTTCCTTATACAGGGTCTAGGCACCCAGTTCCCTGTCCTGAGACCTGTGACCCTTCAGTGATGCTTACTTTCTTCTGTGTGAGGAGCATATGGCCCAGTGACAGTGTCAATGCGTGGAAAGGGGAGAAGGGCAGAAAGGAGCAGTTGTGTAGAGGGGACAGCCTAGCGCCACTAGCTACTTCTCTTTCTCTGGAGATGGAGGATTTGATGCTCGTGAGGAGGTTGGCGCAGGGAATTTCCTCCCCATCCTTCAGAGGGAAGAAAAGCTAAGGGTCTTATCTTCCTTTTCCCTTCTTTCCACCCTCTTCCCAGGAAAGGAGGGAGGAGGTTGGTCTGGTTCTCCAGGGCCTGGCATGTGGGTTCCACGTGCCAGCCCTAGACCCTTAGAGCCTAATGTCCATTCTCAGGCCCGGCCTGCTGGCCTTTAGGTGACTTGCTGTCGTGAGGCCTAGGCTATGGCCAAGATGGAAGAAAGCCCTTGAAGCTTGCCTGGAGAAAGAAGCATGCAGGGCCCCCTAGGCAGAGGAACAGGCCCTGGGCTGTCCCCTGTGGACAGACGGACACTTCTGATCTGCACCTTTATCCTGGCTGTAGCTTGGGGCCAAGTGAATTTCACAGGGTGAGTGGCTGCTGCTTGGTAGGAAGGAAGATCAGTTGGGAGGGAAAAGACCTAAATGCTCTGAGTGTGTGTGTGTATGTCTGTGTCTGTGTGTAGTGTGTGTGTGTCTGTGTGTATGAGTCTCTCTCTCTCTCTCTCTCTCTCTCTCTCTCTCTCTCTCTCTGTGTGTGTGTGTCTGTGTGTATGAGTCTGTGTGTGTGTGTGTGTGTGTGTGTGTGTGTGTGTGTGTGTGTGTATGTATGTATGTATGTATGTATGTGTACTCCTGGGTGAGATCAGACAAAAGTTTCAGCTCCTATCCAGAACCCCCTTCAAGCTCTTTGATCTGCCACTCATACTCCAGGGCAGATGTTTGGCCATGTTATTCTCCTTCTCCAATCTAGAGTTCTAAATCTGAAGCTCAGGGTTAAGTTTTCAGGGTTCTGAGAGGATCTCCTAAAATTGAGACTAGTTGGGGAGAGGGAACGGATCAGACGAAGTGGGAGGGGACAAGAGAGGATAATGGGGAAGGGGTTAATAGGATCAAAATCCATTTATGCATGCATGAGAAGATCATAACGAAACCCATTAGTAAGTACAATTAATATACATCAATAAAAAAACAAATTAAAAAAACTTCTAAAATCACATGCAACAGATTGTATACATGTTCTTTAGGGCGGAAGGTTTATATTTCTCCTCAAATCCTTGAAGAAATTGTTAACCCTCATTAGACTATACACTCGTATCAAAAGTAGAGTGCTGTTAGACTCCTTTGAATAGTAGCAAGCTTGAGCATGCACACCAGGCCTCCCGATGTCCCAGAAGGTTGAGCTACAGACTATCCAGCAAGAAAGAGACACAGCTTAGAAAGGGAGTCACCTGCCGGGTCCCAGAACCAGACAGGCAGAGAGCCCACACTATCCCATCCCAGACCCTGGAGCTCATGATGTGGGACCCTAGCTCTTCACTGTCCACCTACCTACCCAGCTCAAAGGAAAGAAGCATAGCTGCTCTGCCTGGAGAGGCTGGGGTGGTCTGGTCCCCCCTTCCGTGGGGTTCAGCACCTACAGCTACCATTGGTTCCCCAGCCCCTTTGAATCTATCCGTCCCGCCTCTCCATCCCTTTCGCTCTGTGTGTGGGAGGGTAGACACGTGAGCTCCGAGTCCTTGCTGAGTCTCCTCCATGCTGAGTCTCCTCCAGTCCGGTCTCCCTCTTCTCCCTCCTACCTCTTTCCACCGGCCTAGCATTCCTGGAGACCGCCATCGCTTTCTCCCCATGTTTTCCCAGAGACCAGGTTCTTCGAGTCTTGGCCAAAAATGAGAAGCAGCTGTCACTTCTCAGGGATCTGGAGGGCCTGAAGCCCCAGAAGGTGAGGATTGCTCCTGGGGACAGGACTGTCACAGCGCTGGTGTGACTGTCCACCTCGGCTCCTTGTCTTGCCCCCTTACTCTCTCCCACCCCAAAACTTTCCTGAGGTCTCAAAAACGTTCACTAGATTGTTGACAAGTCCACATGTTCTCTGCCACGCGTTAGGGCCATGTCCCCATAAAGTTGGGTGGCCTTTGTTGGCTGTGATTCCTTTAGCCTTCCCCTCTGTCGTGGATGGGGGAAAGATGAGCACGCTCTGAAAACAGCCGTCATGTCCTAAAGCCACAGGAGAGCACAGATGTCCCTGCTGCCACGTAGCATAGGGCTGCTCACATCTGCCTTCCAATTGGAATGGCTTCGTTTGGCAAACTTGTGTTGTATTTGGGTCTGTGTCTGTCAGCCTGGGTATCTGTTTCCAAGAACATTTGTCCTCTACAAGTTTTCACAATGGAAAACATTTTCTTTGACAATTATAATAGAGGGCTTTTGTTTGAGGGCTTGTAAAACAACCAGCTTTTTCTGGATGTGGCCCCAAGCTCTTGCTGCTATTTGTAGGAGTGTCCCTCTCAATGAGGGATTCTACCGCTCTCGGTGTCTCCATTTTACAGATGTATAGATGGACGTAGGGTGTGGGCTCCAGCGTTGCCTCTTCTGCTTCTCAAGGGACCAGAAGAAGACATGCCTGCCTCTTCTGGCCTGGGTTCTTATCCAGGCTAATGTCCTAGGTGACAGGAGCTCTAGGGCTCTGTGGATCCAGGTGAAATACTGACAACGAGTGAGTCGAGATGGTAAAGATAACCAGGAAACAGAGAAAGAAGCTTGGTGAGGGGGGATTTATTCCTCTCTGCAAACCCTAGGATTTTCTTTATGGAACTGGATCCCTTTGAAGTATAAAAGAAACCTAGTCCCCGGCCCCCAGGATGCCTACCAAATGAGTATATAAGGACAGGCAATAAACACAACTGTGTTTTTTTCTTTTCTTTCTTTCTTTTTTTGTGAACAAGGTGGACTTTTGGCGTGGTCCGGCCAGACCTAGCCTCCCTGTGGACATGAGAGTTCCCTTCTCTGAACTACATGATGTCAAAGCTTATCTGAAGTCTCACGGCCTTGCTTACAGCGTCATGATAAAGGACATCCAGGTGAGGTCCTACCCTGGGTCACAGTGAGGATCTCACTTTCCACATTTTTTTTTTTGGTTGGTTCACACCATGGAGAAACAAACAAACAAACAAAAAAACAAACCAAAGCAAAACAAAACAAAAACCCCCTTAGGCCAAGTGCAAACATCTTGCTTGTGGATATCCAGCTGCATGTCTGAGGATACATTATGGAAGAAATGAAATTGTACATTTCTGAGCTTGGGGATGTAGCTCAGTTGATAGAATATTTGCCTAGCTTGCATGAGGCCCTGGGCTCAATGCTCAGTTCTGCATAGAACTAGCCATAAAACTGGGCATAGTGGCACATATCTGTAACCGGAGTGCTTGGGAGTCAAAGGCAGGAGGATCCTGAGCTATGTAGTGAGTTCAAGACCAACCTAGGGCACCTGATAAGCTGTCTCAAAACAAAAAGTGAACAAACATGACCACATGTATGCACACACGCAAAACCAAAACAAACTAAATAAAATATAAAAACAATACACATTTCTAAGAGGAATTTTAAGTCTGGGATAGAGTTCCCTCATGGAGGCAAGGAGTGCTCACAGTGTGGCAGTTGTGGATGTGCCCGCTTCTGGAAGACTTTGCAACTACCAGCAAAGGATACAGGAAATGGAGACAGAAGGGAACAGCAAAGGTCCTTCCTAGCCCCTCTAATGGTTTCTTCTTGTCCTCTGTTAGGTCTCAGACACTCAGTACCAGAGGGATTCTATGCGGGGGAAGAAGCCCAATGCGACCCTGCTGACCCTCCCTCTCTGATCCTAATTCGCTCTGAGCATCTCCCCCAGATGGGATTCTTCCAATATCTCGGGGAGCATGGCAGACCCTACCCAGGTTAGGGTAGAGAGAAAGGCATCTTAAACTCCCAAACTCCCTGGCCTCACTTGATTCCAGTCTTCCACTGTCTTTGCTAAGCACCACGAAAATCGATTTCATCTGCCCTGTGTTCAAGGACATCCCAAAGAGCCTCACCAGTCTGGGAGGATGGATCAGTTGGTAAAGTGCTTGCCACTCAAGCTTGAGGACCTGAGTTGGATCTCCAGCACCTATAGCAAGCACAGAGTCTGCCTGTCATCCCAGTGCTGGGAGGTGGAGGAGACAGGAGGACCCTGGGGGTTTCCGGCTAGCCCGTCTAGCTGAATCAGAGAACAAGGGGTTCAGTGAGAACCCTTGCCTCAAAAAATAAGGTGGGGAGTGATTGAGGGAGACATTGGCTTCTGGCTCTCCTGTGTACGGCCTGCACATATGACCTATGGGGAGGGGGTGTTGGTAGCACAGCCTCCTCCCGTGACAGATCCTTGGGTACCACTCCGATGTTAAAGCCTCGCAGGCTGCATCCTGTGTACCTGTAGAATTGTAGCCACAGAGATTCACTCCTCACCACACTGCTCAGCACTAATCTCCTCTAAAGGCTTAGAGTGTGGGAACATGGAGCCTCCCAGCGCGCACACACTTGACACTGCATGCCGAGGGATCAACGCATTAGGCAACATTCCTTTCCCAGGCCAGCACAGGGCTGGGGCACTGGGGTCCATTCAAAGTCCTTTATCCCTCATCAGACACATCTGTTTCCCGCTCAACATGTGGGGGTGGGATGTTTCTCTAATTAAATCCCCCACAAACAAAAATGGGGAAACTCACACAGACAAAAGAGGCTACCACATCAAAAGAGCAGAACTGAGTTCTCATTTTTAGCCCATGCCTCTATTTTGAAGTTCCCGTTTTCCTCCTTCTGCTGCGCCAGTCCTGGGAACCCAGCAGCATTTGGCAACCAGACACTCAGAAGCCTCAAAAAACTTGGTTGATTTCTGCATGTCAGGGACAGCCCTGGGGTCACCCCTGAGCTCCCCTCACCGACCCCTCCAGAGAGATCCTTTCCTGAAGTCCCCACGCCTGAACTCCTGTGGGATCCCTTCCCAGGAAAATGCCCTGAACTCTCTGCTCTAACCTCTGCAAGCAGAATTTCCAACCATCAGCCTGCAAAGCATCAAGCTGGGACTGCCGCCCTTGAGGTCACTCTGTGGCTTCGGAGGGCGCCAGGGGTGGGGAGAGGCTGTTGTTCCTGGTTGATTTGTGGTGACAGTGGGGGAGGGGTGCAGGCCAGAGGCTCAGAAGTACTGACAGAACCAGAAGGGATTTGCACACCAGGTTGATATGGAGAAAGCTTATTTGAGATACCGACACACAAGCTCGACTCCAGGACTAGCAGCGTCCCCTCAAAGTGAGCCTTCAATAATGGTAGCTTGAATGATGTCAGTGGGTCTAGGCCTGGCATGTGTGTGAGGGAGTGGGGAGTATATTGGTCTCCCCCAGATTCAGCTGCATTTCTCTTATCGATCGGTGCACCCCTGGCCTTAATAAGTGCTTGCTGAATTAATACATAAGAGAAGGCAAAGAAAAAAGAGGTGTGTTTGGCAGTTCGAGCCAGGCACAGCGGATCATGGAAAGCTTTGCAGGTTTTGATTTGTATCCAGAGGCTGGGAGGACTTTTGAGGAGGGGACCAGGGACTGCAGACACACATATGCCTACTGTGTGCTGAGTATTGGGCGAGGCCCTTGGAAACACAGGAACTGCAAACAGAAACAAACCCACCAAACTCAGGGCTGTATCCAGGGGAGCTGGAGAGAGTGGGGGGCTGGGCGGGAGGGGAGTAAATGGGTGGTTACAGTGGAGTGGGTGAGTGCCCCGATGGAGTGTGCACGGGTTGCTATGGGAGCGAATACCAGAGGCACGTCACGGGCGCTGTGAAGCGGTAATTACCCATGCGTGTGTGTGCGGCTGAGCACAGAAGGGGGGCTTACGGGGAAGGAGGCCCCCCACCCTGATCTGACTCCATGTAAAGGGCATCTTTGGCCCTGTGAAGTGGGAGGGGTTTATCCCCCCAAACCGTAGATAGAAGGGGAGACTTAGGGGGGGTCCTTTACAACCCCAGATTTACATTTTAGAGAAGCTCCTCTTCCTGGGGTTGGGTTGAGCTGGGGACAGGGCCCGGGAGACTGACAGGAGGAGGATGGTGGGGGAAACTGCTGTGGGCCAGGCAAGAAACGATCTGATTCCGAGGGTGCTTCATTTGCATTTAATTTTTCTTCACCTCTTCATTCTTTTCAGTCCTTCGGTGTTTTTTTCCCTCCCTGGGATGAGTCACCACCAAAAGCCCTCACTTGAGCAATCAGCGCTTCGGATTTTAATGGCTTTTTTCTGATTGCAAAATTAATAAATATTCATGTTAGATAATTTGGAAAACAGGAGAAAAGCGCAAGAAGAAAACAAAGATCACCCATGCTCTGACCATCCAGAGAGAAATACAATTTAGTATAAATCCCGCTCCACCAGCTCCTCTCTCTGTAGACTTACCCACATCAGCATACAGATAGGCAGCTATTGAGCTCTCTGAAAAAAAAAAAATCCTCCTGATCCGTCTCTTTCCCCTCTCTAGTTACCGCCCTATTTCTCCGTTTCCTTCTAGAACAAAACTCGAAATACTGACTTTTTGTTTGTTCTGACTACCAATTTCCTTTGGCAGGCTGTCTGCTCCTCCCTTCACCAAAAGGGTCCTGGGCAAAGGCACAAGGACCACTTGGTCCACTGGTGTTCCAGTTGTCCAACTTTCCCTGGTTGGTGCAGCTCGGGCGGTGTCTCTCCTCTGGTCTCCTAGGATGCTTTCCTGTTCCCGGCTGTGCTAGCTCCCTGGTCGATCTGTTGATCACAGGAACTAAGACAGTCTCCACACCTTGGTCCAGGGCGACAGAGCTAGGTCCCTCCCACCTCCTCAGGACCGCTTATGTCTCCAGCCGGGGTTTTCCCTGAACTCCAACACCTCTCAACAGTCTGCATGGCTGTCTGAAGGTCCTTGCAAACTCTCCAGGTACAACAGGAGCACCCCAAGTCCCTGTCGGCTCCTCCACAGCCTCTGGGAGCTCAGAAGCCTCCTGGGAGTCATACTGGACTCCCTTCTCAAACCCTCCATCCAGCCTACCAAAGATCCTGCAGGCTCTTCTTTCAAATACTTCTGATGCATCCCAAACTACCACTGTGGGTCATATAACTATCACTAGGGGATTGTACAGGGTCCCACAAAGGGTCTCACTAAAACTCAAGATCCTCCTGCCTCAACCTCCATGAGAAGAACTGGGATCATAGGAGTGCCAGGCTGTGTTCCGGGAACTGTCTGACTGTTCTTCCCAACTTTGTCCTTGCTTCCCTGTTGTCCATTCTCCAGGCAGCAGCCAGATGAGTGCTTTACAAAATACATGAATCCGGTTATATTCCTCTCCTACTCGACACTCTTCAACTGGGACTGGGTATCCCACCGCTCTGGGAATGGAGCTAAGAGGATGTTAAGTTCCAGGCTGGTTATATAGTAAGACTCTGTCTTAGTGAGTGAGTGAGTGAGTGAGTGAGTGAGTGAGTGAGTGAGTGAGTAGATAGATAGATAGATAGATAGATAGATTTTAAAAAGCAGGAAGAAAGGAACACAGGCAGGCAGGCAAACTCTCCGGGGGGTTCTTTCCAACTCAAAATAAACGCAAAGTTCTTGAAAAGGCCAAGGCTCCAGGTGAGCCACCCCCTGCCGAAAGTCACCCTTGCTGCCTTCTGCTCTGTGCCTTCTATCTTCTTTGACGTTCCTAGAACTTGCCTGATGCACTCCTCCCTCAGGGCCCTTGGCGGTATCCACATCTCAAGCCTTTGTGTCTGCTGGTGTCATCCTGGAATGCCGTTCAGGCAGGTATCCGCACGGCTCATCTGCTCACGGCTTTCACCCCTCTTTAAACTGTATCTGTCCCCTCTCCTGCTTGCCCAGCCCCCTGTCATGGCCGTCACCCTCCTCTTCCTCCTAGCTAAAGTTAGCTAGTATTTACTGGGTGCCAGGCTGATCCTAAAGTGTATGATAAAATAACCCTCATTGTATGAGGGGAAACTGAGGCAGAGCCCAAATTAGAAACAGTATTAGTGTCTCATCCGAGACAGCCTGACTAGGGGACCACACTGGGCCATTCAGGATGGTTGCTTGTGTGTGGTGTTTTAACTTGGGTTTCACTCTCCAATGGTTCAGCCTTGACTGCTGAGGGGCTCCATTTTAACAATGTCAGGTCTGTAGCCCCTCCCAGATATGGTGCTTACAGAGCAGACATTAGGCCTAGAGTAGAGGGTCAGAAAGAATCCAAGAGAACTTCCTGCTGAAAGCACACAGCTCCCCACTGTGAGCTGTCTGTGGAGGTCTGTGGTTGGAGCAGACTGCATGGGGACTGGCGTTCTTCAAGCCTCAGCTCCACCTTTGGGGTCCTGGGCTGCTTCCTTCCCTCACCACAGGGGTGGGTTTTTGTTTGTTTGTTTGTTCGTTTTTGTTTGTCTTTCAAGGCCTCACCCTTCCTCATCCCTGTAATGAATGAGTTCACATTCAGGTCTCACGGCCCCTGTCAGGTTAGGGCTTCCAGGAAGGGCAAATGGCTGACTTCTGAGCTTCTCAGTCCAGTGCTTCCCCCTGAGGAGCCTGATGGGGTTGTTTGACATCCTGAACCCATGCAAGGCCTCCTCCTCAGCTCTCAGCCTCTTCCCTCACCCCCAGAAGGGAGCAAACATTTGTTGAGTTTTCAGGCCAGGGTAGATTAATGTTCCTGGAATTGAGGGCCAGCTGTAAGGGCTGAGGGTTCCCAGCTCCTAGGAGGGTGTCCTGTACATTCACGGGACTGGGAGGGTGTTTGGAAAGACATTTGCAGTTTGGTGCCAACCTCCCATTTGCCTCCAACCTGACTATGGAACCAAGGCTGGACTCTTCAAAGCTGTTTCCTATGGGTGTCCCTGGCCATGTTGGAAGAACTGGACTATCTAGGACTTTCTTCCCAATCTCCCCACCTTCCATTACCAACTCAGGCCCTACTACCCCCTGGGGCATTAGAGCTCCCAACCTTGTAGCTGCATTCTGGTGGGTGTAGAGAAAGACCAGGCCTGCCTGGACTCAGCTGTCAGCCTTCTCACAGCTGCTCACGACAGCTGGTTGTACCAGCCCTCAGTGACAGACAGACATTTGTCATGGTGGGCTGCTGCGATTTGGGTGGATTTCCTGGGAGGAAGACACATTCCTTTATGAGAGCTTTCCCAGGGCTGTGCTTGTGAGTGGCCCACAAGGACAAGGTCTCCTCCAGCCACATCTGACTTACCCAGTCATTCTGGCTTTGCCCAAATGGGAAGCCTCAAGTTGGGCCAGCCTAGCTAGAAACATGGCAGTTATAATTACTGAACATGTAGTTGGTGCTGAGACAGTAAGTCATAGGAGCCCCAGACATTGATTTCCAGGCCCATTTAAAGAATCTATAATCTATTAATTTGAGGGTTGTGAGCAAGTGGACAGGGGCCCCTTGGAAGAACGAGTCATTGGGCAAGCAGCCTCATGTAGAGCAGCGGTTGGGGACCCTCTCTCTCCCCCCGCCCTGGGCCTGAAGACATTGCAGCTGGTACTTCACATTAGCCAGTCAGGCTTTGGTTCTGATATTATTTATTCACTTCAAAGTCCTTGCTCACTGAAGTAGTATAAGCATGTTGCCAAAATGTAAAATCAGAGTATGGGGGAAAATCTTCAAAATTCTAATCTTATTCGAACAGGCATCATTAGCATTTTGTTATATTTATTTTTGGCATTTTAATGTCTTGTTTTCCTGTGCTTGAGGATACTTGAGTTTTCATTACTTGAAAAAACTTTTTAATTGCGAGAATAATATGATGGAGTTTTTGGCTGTTAACATTTCGCATACTTCTGTTTCCTCTCTTTATCTATATTTATTTATATACACACAGATATGCATATCTGTGTGTATATGTTATTACTGTTAGTCTTTAGTTTTTGAAGCTTGGCTTGAGGAATCCACTGCTGGGAACTAGAAGACCTGGTTTTCATCTCGTCTCTGACACTTCTTAGCTTTGCATTGAAGGGCTGTCACCTCTCCAATCTGTTTTATCTCTAAAACACCCCAATCCTGACTTCATTCCTTCCCTGGAATCTGGTCATCTGACCAGATCAAGTGAGAGCGAGAACAGAGAATAAAGATACTTCATAGACCAAAAGGCACTGGTCACCAAATAAGGCAATGTCCAAACTGTGACCCAGAGCTTCAGGAGGTCCCTTTGGGTTGATGATGATGCTGGCTCACATTCTCAGGCAGAAGGGCTTGGGCATTTCCCATACTGAACAATCAGTGCTAGTCCTGGGGTGCCTTAGGTCAGGACCTGTCTGTCACGCTCTTCCCTGAGCTGGGAACAGTGTCCCAGCAGGGATTTCAGCGGTGGGTAGAGGGAGCGGTCAACAGTCAGCCTAGGCACTTGAGCGCCCTCTCTTCCTATGGTCAGTGGGAACCATTACATGAAGGTGAATGCCAACCGTAAGCCAACACCCCAAGACGTGGCTTCTGGCTCATGTGTGCTGTGTCTGCCAGGCAGTTGACATGATGAGTGAGAATAATTGACACATTCATCATGATTTGGGCTGGCTTTGTCCACGTGTGGCTTTCTGAATGGCTTAGATACCAGTTGTCTAGACTACTTCCTGGAAGAAGAGTTGATGTTGGAAGTCAGAGCAGTCATCTGCTCCCCTAGGGTGGTCAGTGTCCATGGTCCAGTGTTACAAAGTACAAAAACAACGTTGGCAGGAACCTGTGAGCATCCTTCTAAACACACCTTCATACACATCATTCCCGTTTGTCCTGTGAGGCAGCACAGCTGAGACTGTTGTCTTAGTTCTTAAGTTGAGGAAACCAAGGCTACAGCAAGTACCACAGGGGTTGGGAGCAGAGACACTTAGAGCCTGTCCCTTCAGACTGACTCCTCTACGATCATCTGGGCAAAGATAGCATGGATGCTAGGACATGGAGAATCACCCTTCAACCATACACCCTTCTGGTGCATGGCACACGATCATGGTGGTTCGTTCCCTTGTGTTGATGTTGTGGGTGGAGCTCTCTTCTGCCTCTCCAGCGTGTCTTCCTATGTGCTAGGTGCTGCTGGATGAAGAGAGAGATGCCATGGCGAGGTCCCGAAGGCTGGAACGCAGTACCAGTAGCTTCAGCTACTCTTCTTATCACACACTGGAGGAGGTAGGACCACCTGGGCAAGCTCCCATGCTTCAGAACCCCTTCAGACCGCCAGGATCAGGCAAAGACTAGAGAAGGAGTCCGAGACTGTAAGAGACTGTAAACGTGGGGAGTACAGAGAAAATACATTAGGTAAAGGGATGTTTGGGGGCAGCAGCCTAAAGGGGTCCAGAGTCGGATAGCGGGGACTACAGCTCAGACGTACAAGAGGCAGGCTTGGAGCCTGGGGAATGGTTCTTTGGTTGGCACACTAAGGTGTGGACACATGACAGGCCAGAACAGAGCAGGTAGAGACTGCATTCATAGCGCATCCCCTGACCAGTGATTCATTGACCTCTCTGTGACCAGTCCTGGTGTTCTGTGGCCCCAGCTGTGGATTCTTGAGGTCTGAGGGCCAGTAATCCAGACATACTGGGAAGCCATGCTTGTAGAAACAAGCAGTTGCTCGTACTTGGAGGAAAGGTATGATCATAGTGACAGGCAGTTAGGTCAGATGTTAGTAATGGTCACTGTGTTTAAGGGAGAACATACAGACGGGTACAGGAACTTCCACTCCAGAAAGCAACTCAAGGCATAGGTCTCATTTGCCTGCAAAGGACATGACATTATTGATATTGTCTCCTCCATCACTCTTCTATTTCATAAGCCCTGTAATAGAGAATCCATTTTCTTTCTAATGTTTATGCATTGATATGTACTGAAAGGACAAGAAAATGAGCTAATATAGACTGTCACTGTTATTGATGTCAACAATAAATAAAATATTACCCTTCCCTCCAAGCTGCTGAGTCTAGAAGGAGTGAAAAAGATATAAAACAGCACTCCAGAGTTTATGAGCTCTGTCGGGTGGATAAAACGGACCACAGCGTGAAGACAAGGGAAGGAATTTGCAACAGAGAGATCTATGCAGGCCGTGTCTAGGAATTTATTTATTTATTTATATTATTTTTCAGACAGGGTCTTCCTATGTAGCCCAGGCTGGCTTGAATTGCTAATCCTCCTGCCTCAGTCTCTCAAGCGTTGGGATTACAGACATGTGCTACCATAGGCAGCTCACACCTAGGATTTGAGTGGGCTCAATACATGCTGTTCTCTCAGGTGAAGGACAGTTCGCATGGACGTAAGGAACCTGGCATTCTAGCCAGAGCACAAGTCAATCTCCCTTAGCTCTGAGGGCATCTTCAGGGTTTGCACATCTTGATCCACATTCTTTTAGACTCTCAGGAGAAGTAGGAAAGCAATAAAAAAGGTGGGATGGATGAACAATATTCATTGACATGCTTGGAACTCACCCCGCCCCCCATTTAACCGCCAGTCTGATAGACTTCGTTGCTTTCAGATATATAGTTGGATTGACAACTTCGTAGCTGAACATTCTAATCTCGTCTCCAAAATTCACATTGGCAACAGCTTTGAAAATCGGTCCATTCTTGTCCTGAAGGTAAGAGCCTACTGCATCAGGCAGTAGACCAGAGAGTGAGTGTCTTTATCATAAGATGGAGTTTATAAGTGGCTGGGTGGGAGTTTCTGAATAGCAAAGATATGCATATACTATATACTACCGATCCATGAGCTTTGTGCAATCAGGAAGTCACCTCTGCAGGTACGGACAGGTGGCAGTGCTGGGACCTGGGCAGGAAGTAGTGGAAGGTTGCTAAGAGACAGGGCTGTGGAGTGGCAGCTGTCACCTCAGCTTGGGGTGACTGTGTGTGAGTCAGTGCCTTTACTGTGCCAAACTCGATTTACCTGCTGAGTAAGAAGTGAGGTGCACATGGGTTCATTCGATAAGGACTGAGGTCATCTGGCTTAGGCAGCCCTACAGATAGGCCTGCAGCTCTGGAGAAACCTTCCAGCCCTTCATGGGGGCCACTGAACAGAGCTTGAGCAAGCTGTCATGATGGAAACAGGATGGGCAGCACAACCCTCCTAGAAAAGAATCCATGGCCTCTGCTCCAGCGTGTGAACTAGATGGGGTGCTCGACATCGATTGTCAGGGAGGGTAGGCACTGAGGTGCTCACTGGGCTCTGGTGGATGCTTCTGAACAGTCACATGACCTTGCCTAACCTTACCTTGACTTCACTTGCCTCTGCTCTGATCTCTCATCAGGCATTGCCACAGTCTCTCTCTCTCTAAAAGGATGTTGCTCCTCAAAGTGTGGCTTTGCACTCCAGTCCTCACCCTCTGAAATAACATGTATTAGAACTGCAAACTTCACAGGCCTCCCTAGACCCACTGCACCATAACCTGCACATTAAGATTTCCATGAGAGCACGTGCCCATTAAAGGCTGAGAGGCACAAGTCTTAAGGTTCACAAGTCTTGGGAAATTCTGTGTTCCAGGTTGGGTGGCTTTGCCTTCCAAGAATCCCGCTGTAAGGCAAAGGTCACCATGTGTGTTCGTACTTCACTGGTGTGTGTGTGTGTGTGTGTGTGTGTGTGTGTGTGTGTGTGTGTGTGTGTGTATGTGTGTGTGTATCACCAGCATGTTCTCCTTGTCTCAGGTTGAGAGCTCTGGCATACTGATTCATTCCAGACAGTGAAGGTCATCTGGAGGGACAGCACCATGGCTGTCTTGGTCATCCCTCTGTTTGTGGTCTGATTCTTTTCCCCAGTTCAGCACTGGAGGTTCAAATCGCCGGGCTGTCTGGATTGACACTGGGATCCATTCCCGAGAGTGGATCACCCACGCCACCGGCATCTGGATCTCGAAGAAGGTCAGCTGGGACTGGCAACTGGGGAATAGCATCAAGGGACTGGGACCAGAGGGAGGGAACTTTTGGGTGTTTAAAGGGACCTCTAGTTAAAAAATTTGACTTGGTTCCTTTAAATTCAGGGTTCTCTGTCCCCTCCTGTCCTTTGGAACATTATCATATGTTCTGGTCTTTTACAATTAGGGAGTTTGGCTAGCCTCTGAATTCTAGTTGTTTAAAACTCAGCTTTTGGTTCTGTGTGGGGTATGTTTGATGACCCAATGCTACCTCTTCCTGTGTAAGATTCTGCTGCACCCCAGGAGACCCTGGAAAGGACCGCCTACTGTCACCCTCTCTTGCAGATTGCCAATACATATGGCAAAGACCACGTCTTGAAAAAAATATTGAATGCCATGGACATTTTCATTGAGATTGTCACCAACCCTGATGGCTTTGCTTTTACTCACAGCATGGTAAGGGTGGCTGGGGATCCCCAGTAGTGGTCCTCTGGAGTGTTGGGACAGGGAAATGTCATGGCAGACTCTGGAGCTGGCTTCTTCAGGGGCTTTCTACAGAGAGCCTGCCTGGTAAAAAGAGGACTGCAGGGGTATTACCGCTATGGGGTTAAAACCATCTTTCCCAATAACATGCCCACTGCCCGAGGAAGCTGCCATTGGCAGCGTAAGACTGGATTTCTCCCTAAGCCCTCCCTTGAACCACAGAAGATCCATTCTGCACACAGCCTGGCACAGCTCCATGTCAGCCCATCCTGTCCCCGGAGGCTCCTTCCCTTTGTTCCTTCCTGCCCCACTCGGACCCTCTCCCCTTTTCATGGGCCAGGATGTCAGCTCTTCCGTCCCTGGGAGTGGGCCCAATTAATGAGGTTGCATGCCCTGGGCTTTTTCAGAATCGCTTGTGGAGAAAAAACAAGTCAAGCCAACATGGCATTGCCTGCATCGGCGTGGACCTCAACAGGAACTGGAAGATAGGCTTTGGAGGTATGGCAATCTGTTCCACCCAGGGCAGGGCTTGAGGAGGAGTGCTTGGTCCTCAATAGGTTCTCTCATACCCTCGGACTGGGTTGACTCCTAAGTTGGGAGGCATGGACAGTATCATTGGCTAATATATGTGTGTCGTGGCCAGGGTCAGGTGAGCACACAGCTAAGATTGACTGTGGTATGTGGGTGAGATTGCACGTAGGATACGTGGATCTATATGCCAAGTCTTTAAGGGAACGTTTAGCTATTAAAATGAAGACTCAATGAAAGTATCAAATCCTCAACATGGCAGAGAAAGGCTCCAGGAAGCTAGCTCATTCTGGCAGAGTTATACCATCCCATGGCTGGCTTGGCAGCTTTCTCCTGGGTTCTTTGATGATCTTTTCTGATTGTTTCTCTTTCACATGTGCCAAAGGTGCAGAGACTAGATAGGGAAACCAAGTCTTCTAGAACGTTCAGAGGGAATATTAGGATCCCAGCCAAGTAGCGATTGGATGGGTGGGATTCCAGGACCAGCCGGGGTAGTCTACAGGATCCATACAGCCCGCAGCCCCAGATACAGTATCTATGCTCCACAGTGGAGACAAGGGGTGTCTCCCCAGGGAGACCACCCACTGCTGTTAACAAACAGATCCATAGATTGGCAGTCAAGCTAATGACAGAATATTCTAGCTCTAGGTGTCTGTGGCTCTGTAAATTTGGCTTTTTGGAGTTTGTTAACAGTAAAAACTAAGGAAATTTCTAAAGGATGGAGAGCAAAGGCCCCAGGTCACATGGTGGTGGGTGCCTGAGGATCAGGGTCATGTGTAACCACTGTGGTAAGGGATCGTGACTGTAAAATTGGACTTGTCTGCCTCAGATTAACCTTAGATTAACCAGGGTTAGCCTAGGCAGGCAGCCATGGCTCTAAGATATGACAGTACACACAGAAACCAAGGTAGCCCAGTTTAGAGGTAGATAAATTCTGTCTTGAAGAAAATAACATTTGTGGGTCTGTCTGTAAACAAATAAAATAAAAATCTGTAGATACACAATGTAAAAATGGTTATGGGGGTGGGGGGCCCAAAGGGGTGGAAGAACTCCCATAATCCCACTACCCGAAGATTAGTGCTTTAATAATTCACCATGTTCTTTTCAGAGATTTCCCCTTGCTACAAATTAGATTTTTTAGAGAAGGAAAAATAAACAGCTAATGAATCCATTAGCAGATACTTGTGAGACAGGCAGGCTCAGAGGACCTTGACTGTGGACGTCAGAGAGGCAGGCAGCTAATTCCCATTTGGGCAGCGGAGATTAGTTTATTCTGCTTAGCTCAAACCAGAACTAATGGCCTGAAGTGTTTCTCCATATTTGGGCAAAGCCACCTGGCCGTTGGCAGGGGAACCGCTCTCCCTGCGTGGGCTGCAAACACAAAGCTCTCAGCCTCTCCGCTCTGCTCATCTGTTGCTATTTGTCATTCATCGAGTGGAGCAGGTGCAGGAGCTCATCAGACACAACAAACAGGCCACTGTGAGCCCAGCCCGCACCAGCCCGGGGGTGCTCTCCCTCTTCTACCCAGGGTCCCCAACCTTAGGCAAGGACCACCCAACCGAGAGGGCGTGTGCTCTTGGTTGACGGAATGGCCTCTGGGCTGCCTCTGGCCAGGAATAAGGAGTGACTCGGCGGGAAGATTTTGTTTATGGTTTTTATGTTGTCTTCCTTGTTATGTCGTGGGTAGTCTGGAGACCATCCCTCAGAGCGCTGTCATCCTCACCTGAACTCCTGGGGAGGAACGGTGTGGAGTGGCCTAGGGACAAGAAGGCTGTTCTGGTTCCTTCTCAAAGCTTCAGAAGTTGGAGGAGAATACTTGGTCTCTGAGTAGGGCTTGGATGTTAGATGCAGTCTAGACACAGAAGGGGAGATAGAAGTGGGAATTTTTCTTCCCCATGAGTTTGCTAACCCACAAATCTTGACCAGCCCTTGTCCAGCACTATATGACATGGCTCTGGAGGAAGGAAATGAGTGGGCAAGGCACCTAAGTCCTAAGAGGGGTAACAAACTCAATGGCCAAAAAATGGAAGCACAGGCCTGGGGGCGTGGCTGAGTAACAGGCACTTTACCACCACCCCCATGTACACATGCATTCATGCTCGCGTGAGTACACACACACACACACACACACACACACACACACACACACACACACACTCATCTCTTTGCCTTCTCCTCCAAGTAGGTTCCCTGAGAAAAATTCTCCAAAGCCTCTTCGGTGATTCTCAGGCCAGCCTCAAGCAGCTCTGGGGACCCATTTTGTCTGTCCCTGGGCCACAAGGCCATGGGACTTCTAGGACTGTGGCTGGGGACCAAGCTTCAGTAGATACTGAGTTTGAGCCCCTGACTAGCATGAACCCCAAAAGAGCCAACGAAAGGGTTGCTGCTCAAGAGGAGGCTGGGATTGGGGCAGAGGGCCGGGGTTGCTTCTGGATGCACCTTCCCAGGCAGGCCTGCCCCTCCAATGGACAGTCAGGACTTAGCCCAAAGGGAGCCATGGGCACTCCCTGCAAACCTACAGAGTTCCGGAGCCAAGATGTGGCTCCATTCTTCATCCTGATATATAAGGTGAAGGAATACAACAGTAACACCACCACATAACTCCAGGTTTATCTGGCACACACAGTCCCAGGTGGGCAGCTGCCTATCTGACATCTCTCTTCAGTGGTGACAGAGGGACCCATCATGTTGCTTCTGTTCAGAAGGTTTTGCTTTGGACACACAGAAGAGAATGTGGAGTCACCCTTTCTTCCTCCCTTCCTTTCTTCCTTCTTTTCTTCCTCCCTCCTTCCCTCTCTCCTTCCCTCCCCTCCTTCTTCTCTCTCTCTCTCTTTCTGTTTTTCTTTCTTTCTCTCTCTCTTTTTTTTGGAGCTGGGGTCTCTCTGTGTAGCCCTGGCTGTTCTCCAGAACTCACTCTGTAGACCAGGCTGGCCTTGAACTCACAGAGATCTGTCTGCCTCTGCCTCCCGAGTGCTGGAATTAAAGGCGTGCATTACCAGGTCTGGCTACCTTTTTCCTTAACAGCTTCAAAACAGAACAGATACATCATTGCTGCTTACATTTTCATTGGCCAGAAGCAGTCACATGACCTCAACCAGCTTGCAAAAAGCGATCGCAAGACATAAGGGTGTTTCACGAACACTGTTTTGCCACACCTGGGTACTCTGACCCTTTGGGTGGTTTTATTTTACCTTCAGGAAATGGTTCTAACAAAAACCCCTGCTCAGAGACTTATCGAGGGCCCTCACCTGAGTCGGAGCCAGAGGTAGCTGCAATTGTGGGCTTCATCACAAGCCATGGGAACTTCAAAGCTCTGATCTCCATCCACAGCTACTCTCAGATGGTCATGTATCCTTATGGCCACTCTCTGGAGCCTGTGCCAAACCACGAGGAGCTGGTAAGATTGGCTGTTTAGAGTGTGGGAAAGCAGAAGGCCTCTCTCTAGGAAAGCCCATCCCTGGTGCACCCCCAGGTGGTTCAGACTTTGACTCCCAGGATGAGGGTCTGGACCAATGATAGGGAGACCCCCTAATAGGAAGAGTCACTAGAGCTGTTCTCATGTGTGGTCAAGTTCAAAGCTGGAGGTCTTGTACTATCCACATGGCCAACCTCCAGGGTTCCCAACCCCACACTCCACCAGCGGCTGAGCACACGGGGGGCCGGGGAGCCCTGCCTCTTACTCTTCGGCTGTCATTTGCAGTTCAATCTTGCCAAGGATACAGTGAAGGCTCTGCACAAGGTGCACGGGATCGAGTACATTTTTGGCAGCATCAGTACCACCCTCTGTGAGTGAGCGACATCTGCCTGGGGCAGGGCAGGTGCAGCCTGAGCAGGACCGCTGACCTCGCTGGGCTGGGCGGATGGTGGCATCCAGGCAGCTGTTTGTCTGCAGCACCAGATCCTGCGATCTGGCCTATTTCAAAGTTCCTTGAGGGGAAAGATTCTCAGTCTGTTGGCCCATTTCTGCAAGGGGGACAACCGGTTGGGGGTGGGCGGGGTAGGGTCCAGGATGAGGTCTGAATCAGGAAGTCTGATGTGAGCAGACCCAGGTGGGCTGCAGCGCCCACGTTGCACACAGGCTTCTTCTATGCCCTGTGGCCACATCTTCTCCTTCTTTCCCGGGCACCTTTTGGCCCTTTTCTTTTTAGATACAGCCAGTGGGATCACGGTGGACTGGGCCTATGACAGCGGCATCAAGTATGCCTTCAGCTTCGAGCTCCGGGACACTGGACAATATGGCTTCCTGTTGCCAGCCTCACAGATCGTTCCTACAGCCCAGGAGACATGGATGGCGATTCGGACCATCATGAAACACACCCTGAATCACCCCTATTAGCCACATTTCTCAGGCCAGAGCAGTTGGGGTTCACCCCTTTCCCCAAGGCCTGGGACTCCTCCTGAATCCCAAGTTAAGCATCCCTTCCCCATACCCTTGTTGGACCCTTAGCAAATAAAAGCGAGTTTGAACAGCCTATTGCCTCTAGGGTTGGTTGCTACTTCTTTGTGCTCAGGGTTGAGAAGGGACAGAGTCTGCTTAGGCATTCCTCAGGGCAGCTTGACATATCTGGGACACTCCCCCACCCCCTGCTGTCTTCAGGAAAATGTGAGACCTGAGCTCTGCTGTTTCCCCTCTTTGCCCGCCCCCCCATCCCTGGGAACAACCAAAATATACATTGTCCCAGCAGTTTTTGACATGTTAATGTCATCCAGAGGGGGACCAGGCTTGATTTAAACAAGAGAATCACCAAGGTGAAATTTCTGTCCACTCGAGGGTTGCACTAACCCCATGTCTGAATCTGAACAAGTCCTTGGTTTGTGACCATCAAGCAGTTACTCTAGGTTAGGCATGTGCTGAGTAGGACTTTTCTCTGATAGAGAAAGGGGGGCATCGTTTTGAGATCCCAATGAGGTGGGTTCCCTAGCACCTACCATTGGGGAGCAGGGAGAGAGAGCCTGCTGTCCTAGAAGCAAGAAATCAAATGAAGGCTGGAAATATTTATGGAAGTCTGAGGCAGAAACATTAGTTTGAGAACAAGACTTTCATTTGCAAAAGTCAGGCCCTATTTGAGTGTGTGTGTGTGTGTGTGTGTGTGTGTGTGTGTGTGTGTGTGTGTGTGTGTTTTAAGGATTCTGGATGCCCATAAGCCAGTTCCTGAGTGACACAGAGCAGGATGAAAACGGAAAGATACAGGAAGAAGCCTCTTCTACAGCCTGCAGAAAGAGAAACACTTGATGGGCGGAGATGATTTTAGATGATCAAACTATAATCACTATTTCAAACCTAGACAAGGTCCATATTCACTATGATGCCTAAGCAGTAAATTACTAAGGGAACTGGGTTGATAGTAGGGGCAGCTGTATGAGCTGCAGCTGTTAAGAATTTGGAGCAGGCCGGGTGGTGGTGGCACGCACCTTTAATCCAAGCACTTGGGAGGCAGAGGCAGGCGGATCTCTGTGAGTTCAAGGCCAACCTAGGCTAGAGAGTGAGTTTCAGGCCAGGTGCCAAAGCTACACAGAGAAACACTGTCTCGAAAAACCAAAAAAAAAAAAAAAAAAAAAAAAGAATTCTGAGCAGAAGAAAAAAAAAGTGTGTGTGTGTCTGTGTCTGTGTCTGTATGTCTGTGTCGATCCTGCAGGTGAGAGACAAGGCCAAGGGCTATACAGCCTGTAACATGATGGCGTATTGGCCATTAGAAGGACATGCAAAAGACCAGCTGTGAAAGCCCCAGACAGCCAGTGCATTTAACCCCTAAAGAAGCCGGATTACCTGCAAGGAGGGACCCAACGGTGGAGGAGGACAGAGCATCCTCGGTAAAGTTTCCACAGAAAGCTGAGCTGTTTTTATTTTTAAAGCTGGAAGTGGTTTAATCGAGCTAGAATTTCCAACCTGGAGTTTTCTGTTAGTGGAAATACAGGGTCATGGGCTGCATTAATATAAGCTATAGATAAATAAAATGAGCTCTGCTTCTGCACACTGAAGTGTGGTTATAACTTTTATGCCCTCTACACAAATATTTTTATTTTATCCTCATGGGAGAATACATTACTGGTATTAATAAACTCATTTTTAAATTAAAAAAAATTTTTTTTGAGGCAGAATCTCACTCTGTAGTTCAAGCTGGCCTGGAACTCATTGGTGTGATCCTGGCTAGCCTTGAACTCACAGCAATCCTCCTGCTTCAGCTCCTTGTGAACTATCACACCTGGCTCAATAAGCTGATTTTTAAGATAAGGGAAGCTGTTTAAGAGTATTTCAAAAGCTTTCAAGGCCACACAGAACTTGGTTTGTGTAAGTCTGAAACTTCTATCCAAGCAGGCCACCGATAGCAGGGTCTGTGGAGACTGGTTTACCATGAAGGTATTAGGATTTCGTCTTCACAATTAACCAGCATTTCCAGGGGGGGGCAAGTGACTCTACGGAGCTGGAGCACCACTGTCCTGGAGGTAGGAGGACTGGGCTGACAGGTGTTTTAGTAATGTGGTCTTAAGTTCTTGCCTAGCACTTACTATGGGCCACGCACAGTTCCCAGTGCATCATGGGATTCAACACATTGCTTCCTCTTAGCTGTCATAGGCAGAACTGTTAATAACCTTGTTTTCGATGAGAAGGCTCAGACTCAGAGATAAGAGCAGTGAAAGGGCACACACTACGGTAAGGCAGGGCGACTGGCCCTCAGAGCCCAGAGTTCCTCACGTGCCACAAACCCTGAAGCTACCTCACACTCAGTCTCCCGGAAGACATCAGGAACCTGTTTTCACAACCAGGTTGGCAAGAACTCCTGTGCAGGGAAGAGTCCCACAAAATCTGTGCTTGATGGTGAGGGTAGAGGTGGTCTTTTATTGTTTGTTGTCTTTTGAGACAGGGTCTCACTGTGTAAACCAGATTGATCTCAAACTTACAGAGAGATCCACCTGCCTCTGTCTCCGGGCTTGTATGGATATGGCCTTCAAAGGTCTCATTCTCAAAAGAAAAAGAATAAAATAAAATAAAAAACAGCCGGGCGGTGGTGGCGCACACCTTTAATCCCAGCACTCGGGAGGCAGAGCCAGGCGGATCTCTGTGAGTTCAAGGCCAGCCTGGGCTACCAAGTGAGTTCCAGGAAAAGGCGCAAAGCTACACAGAGAAACCCTGTCTCAAAAAACCAAAAAATAAAAAAAAAAAAATAAAAAAAATAAAATAAAATAAATTAAAATAAAATAAAAAACAAAAACAAACCAACCAAAAGAACAACAAAAAACAAATAACAACAACAACAACAATGATTTAAAAATCCCACCCAAGGTCACATGACCTGTTTTTAGCCCTCTCAGCCCTCCCTCACAACTCCGTCCCAGGTCTCGAGTTAGAGATCTTGTCACGCGCTGCTGCTTCTCTCTGGAACATTCTTTCTCCCACTCTTTCCCTTTAAATTTCCTTATGAGCTTTGGCTGTAGGACTGACTACCCTTTGGCCATAGATCATTGTCTCCCACAATCCTCCTTCCCAAGGCCTCATTTATCTCCTTTGAAGCAATGATCATTAGCAACTAATTGATTTTGTTTCCTTGTTCATCTTGGCTGGACTCAGACCCACGAGGGCAGGCACTCATCTGGGTTGTTTGCTCTCCCTTAGCTCCAGCAGCACCAGGCCTATGAAAGACACTCGAGATTTGCGGAAGAACGGTCTCTCTTCCTCAGCCTCTCCTCCATCAGTGCTGCTATATGTGACAGTGTAACAGAACTCACCTCACTATGGCCGAAATGGGTGGGGTTAATCCGACAGGGGCAGGCTAGGGCTGTCCCAGGGACTGTTTTTGAGGCACTGGGGACACAGACCCTTCTGATCTGTCTTGTCATTGGCGACACAGAGACATGTATCATAACGGTGGGGACACATGCAAGGAAATGTGCCACTAAGCAAACATCCTAGTGTGTGTTTACATGCTGTAGCTGCTTTAGCCCACTGCACACCAGGTTTCATGGTACATGCATGTGGCAGGAACTATCCTCTCAATCCACAATGAAGAAGAAAACGAGATTAAGCACAAGAAAGTATGACGTCATCAAGAGATGTGGCAAACATAAGATGTTATCTTGGGATGCTGTACAGTGATGGTTTGCTTGGCATGTCCAATCCCCAGCACTTCCAGAAACCAGCATCCCCACAAATCCCAAGATATATGTGGTTGTCTCTGGAGTAACCTGACTACTGCTATACTTGAGTTTTGTTTTGTTTTTTTTAATTAAGAAACAGAGCCGGGTGGCATTGATGCATGCCTTTAGTCCCAGCACTCGGGAGGCAGAGCCAGGCAGATCTCTGTGAGTTCGAGGCCAGCCTAGTCTACAGAGCGAGATCCAGGACAGGCACCAAAACTACATGGAGAAACCCTGTCTCGAAAAACCAAACTGTATTAGCCATCTTGTCACTGTGATAAAATGTCACAACTAAAGGCAACTTACAGAAGACTTTATCTGAGCTCACGGTTCCAGAAGGAGAGTCTAGAATGGGGGTGAGGCATGGCAGCAGGGGGCTGGAGCAGGAGGCCAAGTGATCATATCTTCAACTGAAACACGTAGCAGAGAGAGACCTGGAAGTGGGGAGAGCTTCTTAAAGCCTACCCTCAGTGATGCAGGTCCTCCAGCAAGGCTCCATCTCCCAAAGGTCCTACAGCCTTCCTAAACCACTGCCAACGAGGTGACCACATGGGTTCAAATAAATGAGCCCATTGGGGACATTTCTCATTCAAACCACCACAAGCACATTCTAAAATGACAATAAAAAACATGGGCTAGTCCACATAGGAACCAGGAACACAGGTGTTTACTCAAGTGTTACGTGGTATGTGTAACAGTGTGCACTATACTTGGACATCTACTTGTGCCAATGTCCCCCCAAATGCATGAGTGATGCGTTGCATTCCAGACTTTATGGTGGCCGCAGTGATATTAGGTGACTGGAAACTTCCAGCTCCATTTCATCTTGTGAGCCCACTGTCAGTGGTTTTATGGGGAGGACGGTTGAATTGTGACCTCCGTTTTCTAGATGGTGCCATTACCCCTCACATCGAACTGAATTCTAGGCAGGAAGAGCAGGGGGGTGAAAGTGGGAGCTACCGAGCCTGTGGGTTTGCATTCCTATCTTATGGCTTGGAACAGTGCTATGTGGCGCCGCCCGGGCTATAAGGGAGGCTGGGAACTCTCTCTGCGGCTGGTCACATCCCTGCTTCAAATAAAAGCAGAGTTCTGATAAGGAGGAAGGAAGGAACGGATATTGCAAAGACACCCAATGGAGTCTGTGACAGCATCTATGGGGGACGGGAGCGTGGGAAGGGCCTCAGCACCAGTTTCTTGCTCTTGTTAACTGAAAACTCACAGAAGTTCCCAGATGTCCTAGCCAGCCCCCTTCATCCTGAAGTTCCAAAGACTGGGGCTTCTGCATCGTGAGATTTGCACAAGGCTCGTGAGACCCTCGTGGCTGAGAGACCACTAACTCCAGGAGATCGTGTAGTCTCAGCTGGTTTTAGGACTGAGGGACCACCACCAGGTCCCAGCAAGCTCAGGTTTTAAGTGCATTGACCAAGAGCTTAAGACTCAGATGCTCTGGGGCCAGAAAAATGATTTTAAGATTTCTCTTTTTCGTAAGTCTGAAACATCCCCTCCCATTTTCTTGAATATGTAAAGCTGAACAGAACCTTAATTTTTCTACATCTTCCCCTCCCCCTTCTTCCTTTTTCCAACAAGCTGTTCTTTTTAGGTATGTTTTTTCGTCCTTTTCACCCATAAAATTTATGAGAATTTATTTGAAAGTGTAAAAAAATTGAAAAAACTGAAGGAGAAAGAGCGATTATACATATGGAAAACCATAAGAACCACAGTGAATGTGCACAGTTATTACTTTCTTAAGAAAACAAACCAGCCCTCCAGTTTGGAATGTGAGTGGCTCGTGTGAGGCCAGCCAGAGGCAGAGGCCCAGGGTGAAGGGCCAATGCCCCCTATTCAGGAGTGCTGCCAGGTGCTGTTTCCATTCCCAGCCTCCCCCTCTCCCCTCTGACCATTCCAACCAGAGACGGGAACACAGAGAAAATGACTACAGAAAAAAATATCTGAAATACTCCTTTAGAAAAGCAAGACGTCTGAAGCCATCAGACAGTGCAGCCCAAGAACACTGGCCCCCAAAGAGTTTCCAAGCTGGTCTGGAGGGGCCATCAGGAAAAATCAGGGGGCCATCAGGAAAAATCAGGATGAGAGGCCAGCCACAGGCAGGCCAGACCACATGGAGCCACAGAATGTGTTACCACTGTCCAAAAAATTGTCCCAAATACTCGGAGTCTGAAAACCAGAGAGCTAGACAGCTGTACAAATTTATCCTTCAGTGCCCCACTCCCCATTTTCCCAGAAGGGCTTTATCTGTCACCACGCAGCTTCTACTCCCAATGTGGCCCCAGTTATGTTGGAACAAGGGCTGAGATGGTGCCTGTAAAATGTTCCCAGGTGACATCCATTTCCTAGGCTACAGCCATGAGTTCTGCCACCAACTGTCCCTGTTTTCTGCGGGCCCCTGGTTAGTGCCACACTGCCAGCCTCCTCGTGCCTTGCCCTCCCATCCCCATAAGCTGCCTGAATTGGGCCAGGCCTGCCCCATCTTCAGCACGAGAGACAGGCTCACGGTGGGGAACTCCAACCTACTCAGCCTTCCAAAGTTAGTATTAGCCACAGTCACTAGAAATAACGACATGGCCTCCGGAGCCTTGGGTTGGGCCAGCGCCTTGCTAGCTTCTTGCCCTGGTTTGCAGTTGACCTCCTGCTCTTCCAAGCACAGCTAAGCTCTGTGGTTCTCATCCCTTTCCTGAGCCCCCAGCCCACCTCCCTCAACTTCCTGAGCAGAGGGAAGACCACAGGAGAAATGTTCATAAAATTGTACTTGGGATATAAAAGGGGAATACATTATAGAAAACAGGAAAGGCAGATGTGGTGTTGACGCTTGTGTCCTTCATGAGGAAACACATTAAGTCTGTGCTCTGTGAGCTTCTGTTGCTGGGGACAGGAGTCCCTGATCCTCCCTTAGGCTCAGCAGAAGCACTCTGTCCCTTCAGTTTCTCATGGGGGTGCGTCTCTGCCTTTTTCTTTGTCACAGGCAAAAATCTGGGCTTTGAGGGGACACTCCCTAAGGATCCTTGACATTGGATTGTCTCTCTTCAGAGGGCCCTTACTCCAGACTTACGTCCCGCCCTCACTTCTGGAGACCCGTGCCTCTAGCCATTGTACAGTGATAACTTGGCATCTTCAAAATAACAGACGGGCTTCACGGAACAGTTAAAAGGCAATACTGAAGGAGGGTGAGGATGGGACCTTGTTATCCCAAACTCCCACACAAGCTCAAGCCTGATGACTTTGCCACACCAAAGCCTCAGTAAAATGTGACGCCTCTAACCAACACTGCCCTGGCCACCCCATTGCCAGTCTGCTTCCCTCAGTGGCTTCTGACTGCCCCACAGACCTGACAAAGCTCTCTTTGCCTTTCCTAGGTATGTTTCCATGGCTTGGTTTTAAAGTAAAAAAGAAATCCAAGTGTTCTGGAGTTTTCGCTTGTGACAGCTGGAGGGCCCACAGAGGTCGCCATGGTTATCTACACGTAGGCACCTTCACACGCCTCCCGTCCCATTTTGTTCTCTTCTGAAGTTAGAAAATGTCTTTGTAGTTTCTTTCTTTCTTTCTTTTTGTTTGTTTGTTTGTTACATGTAGCAGAAAAGCAACTTAAAGCTTGAATGGGAAAAAAAATGGAATTTGTTGTTACTCCCTGGAACTAGGCCCACCCGAGCTGCGACTTTTGAGTGAGGAATGAGTCTATAAATAGATTAAAAATAATGACAAAGTGATGCCTCCCAATGAACAACACCTGAGCTTATGTTCTGGCCTCGACATGCACAAACATATGACCACACCCAACCCAGCAATTCACCCCGTTATGAGTGCAGGTGCTGAGGCAGAATGGTTCTGCATCTTGTTCCTGTCTATAAGCAACCATCACCTGTCCATCCCAAGCCACAAGACACAGGCTGAAAAACAACTTATTTACACAAAATATCACCACCTAGGAACTTACCAAGTTAAATCGGGAACATTTGGCTTCATGGGCATTTCAAAGCTATCAGAAACAAAACCAAAAACAAACAAACAAACAAAAAACGGGTCTGTGAGCCTATCAAACACAGCAATGAACCACACAATCCCTTCACCTAGCTCATACATAAAGAGGGATACCAAATACTGGGTGGGGAACAGTGGTACTCACGACTCTTATCTGATCGTCGCGTACATGTGTTATGGTATGGTCAGGAAAGAAACTATTGAGTCTCTTCCTGGATTTTCTGTTCAGCATTATCTCCCTGCTTGACATGGTCAACCTCCATTCCGTCATCCGGACTCAGAAAGCTTACAGCCAGCTCAGGACCTTGATCCAGCTTAGCATTTGGCAGCCCTGGGCCTGAACAGCTCTGTAACAGGGTTGGCTATATTGATATCTTATCTTACCACCTGCATCCGATCCTGCCTTTACTAAGGTCCCTCTGAACCCAGAAGCTGCTTTAACTCTTTGGGGGAATCTCTCTAGTATTGTGTGGAATCAATAATGTGTGATCACAGAGTTAATACTGGCCATCAGGAAGAGCCTGTGTTTGCCAATGGCCATGAATATTGAGTGAAATCCATAGTTGGTGAATTGAAGCCAATGAAATTGATATAACTTGTGCATTTATTGTTACCCAATAAATGCTAACACTGTCTGTTCTTGTTTCTGACACAGTGCACCAACAACAAGGTATCAGGGGCTGTGGGAAGCGGGACGAGTGATGCCAGCTGGGAGACCTGAGGCCCAGCTGACCGTCATGGTCAAGGGTGGAAGTCTGGCTTATCTCTCCACCTGCCTTGTTCCCTGCCGCTTTATCAGGGCTTTATCAGGAAGAGCGAGAAGGTGCCACAGTTTGGATCTCTCACCTCTCCCGCCCCGTGGGACTGGATCCAGATGTGAGGGGAACAGTCCCCAGGGACCCCTGTCAGCGTTTAAAAGGCCTCAGACCTCAGTCTGGGCCTCAGCTCGACCTTCCCAACATGTGGAAGCTGCTGATTTTGAGTGTGCTGTTGGAGGCAGTCTTTGGCAATGAGAACTTTGTGGGGTAGGGGTGTGGAGAGGAGGGGGGTGTCCTAAGGGGTGATGAAAGGACTCTCTCCTCAAGTTGGTGTCGGGAAGGGATAGACAGACATGTGGAGACACAACCAGAGGAGACAAACCGACACCACTCTGGGACAGCAGCCTGGTTGGGAGGGCAGGGCTTGAAAGGGCCCAGCTTCTTCTGGGCCCTGAAAGAGTTGAGCTCTGAGAAAGAATTTTTAGAAGGAGAAAGAGGAGGTCTGGTTGGCTTGGAGAGAAACTAGTCTAAATTGTGATGGGGACAATACAAAAGTCTAGAAGCTTCCAAAGACGAGAGAGAAGATGTGAGGAAGTTCAGGTCTCCCATTGCTCAGACCCCCTTGCACCTCTATGGGCCCAGCCTGGGAAGTGTTGGGGTGCCTCCAGTTCTCAGGGCCCCTCCTGCTCTGCCCAGGCACCAGGTTCTCCGAATCTCTGCAGCTGATGAAGCCCAGGTGCAGAAAGTGAAGGAGCTGGAGGATTTGGAGCATCTGCAGGTTAGCGATTCAGTGCAGGCCTCCCTGGGGACCCAAGGACCACCTCAGGTCCCCACGGCTGCCCATGGTCAGTCCCTGGGCTCTGGCTCAGCCTCCCAGCAAAGAGCCACGAGACTGAGATGTTGAGAAATGACTTTAGACCCCAGATTCAGATCTTGGCGCCCTTGAGAATCTGATGGCATGCCAGGACCCCATCCCCACTTTCTCTGTCTGCCTCATCCCCTCGAAACCTCTCCATTCTGGCCATTTCCTGACCATACTGGACTTTGTCCAGTTCCCAAGCTTCCTCCAGCACCCCTGCATCACCTCCTGCCGTGTGGGGGCTTCTAGTGCCAATGCCCCTTCTCTGGCTCTCCCCCTTTCTGCCCTGGTTGGCGCCTCTACCCGCCTCTAACGGTGCTGCCGCCTGTTCTTCCCAGTTGGACTTCTGGCGAGACCCTGTCCGGCCTGGAATCCCCATCGATGTCCGAGTGCCCTTCTCCAGTATCCAGTCAGTCAAAGTCTTCCTGGAATCCCACGGTATCAACTATGAGATCATGATTGAAGACATTCAGACACTGCTGGATGAGGAACAGAAGCAGATGTCTGCCTTCCAGGCCAGGGCCCTGTCCACCAAAACCTTCAATTACGCCACCTATCATACCCTGGATGAGGTGAGAACAGCCCTGGAAGGCTCTGCCCAGAGCAGCATACTTTGCTTCCTGGTTGGCAAGGCTGGTCTGGCTGTGGGCAATCCGTGCTGTTTCTGTGTGGCCGCTGTGGTCAGTTGTGACAGCCCAGCACTACATGGCTGCTGATTCAGGGAGGCATCTGGATTCTCAGAATCCATTTAGTCTCTCCTTCTCTCTTTTTCTTCTTTCTGATCTCAGATCTACGAATTCATGGACTTGCTGGTGACAGAGAACCCACAGCTTGTAAGCAAGATCCAGATCGGCAACACTTTTGAAGGTCGTCCCATTTATGTACTGAAGGTAACAGAAGCCCACATGTAGACAAGGGTACGCATATAAATGAGCCCCCATGTGGAGCTCCATGTAAGGGTGTAGATTATACATCTCATAGATGAGTAAGGGAATGCACTGTTCTATACAGTCCCTGTGCAGATATGTGGGAAGGTCTGAGCATCTATACTGGCGTAGGTGGCCATATGCACGTATACAAAGTTTGAGGTGACCCAAGTGTTACCAATCAAGTGTTGCACTATGAGAAGTATTGTGGAGTCCGGACGTCCGGATAACATGTTTTCCTGCTGACTTCCCACAGTGCACTATCCAAGCATCAGAATAGGGCTGGGACCTGGATGTCAGGAGTCCAAGCTCTGTAGGGTCCCTGTCTGGTCCCTGACCCCATAACCCCAAAAAGTATAGTCCCCACAGCAGCCTCCCTCGACTTTAGGTATATAGAGGGCTGGTGGCTTCTGGCCAAGGTGGAGGGGAACCGAGGCCTGGGTGGAAAGTTGCCTTTTACCTATTCCCCTGCCTCTTCTTCAGTTCAGCACTGGAGGGACCAACCGCCCAGCCATCTGGATTGACACTGGCATCCATTCCCGGGAATGGGTCACCCAGGCCAGTGGCGTCTGGTTCGCGAAAAAGGTGAAGCTGGGGGATGAGGAGGGCTCTTGCTTGCTGGGGAACTGGTGTGCACAGGCCACGGGAGGCTGGACCTCCCCTTTCCAGAAGCAGTGGCCACAAAGGGAGGCCAGGGAATGTGTCCATTGTGCCAGTTTGGCTAACACTCTACCTTCTCCCTCACCCACCAGATCACTGAAGACTACGGCCAAGACGCAGCTTTCACAGCCATTCTTGACAACATGGACATCTTCCTGGAGATTGTCACCAACCCTGATGGTTTTGCCTACACCCACAAAACGGTACAGACTACCTCTTGTTCCCTAGGACAGCAGGATGTACCTTGGAGCCCCACAAGTGACCCCCTCAGTGGAGGAAGGGGCACGTAGACCTGTCCTCATAGACCTGGGTCTCTCAGCCTAGGCACCATTGCCATCTTAGACTGATGATTCTTTGTTGTTGGCGACTATCTGTGCATGTACTGAATAGCCTCTTCGCCTACCCATTAGGTTCCAGTAGCAACCCCTCAGTCAGTCATAACGCCAAACACCTCTAGACACTGTAAAATGTCCTGGAGACACCAATATTGCCCTGGGTTGAGACCCTTGCTGCAGCCCGGATCCCGATTTCCATAGCAGCTTTCTCCTGTGGCAAATGTCACAGCCCACAGTGCTGATCCCTGGCTCAGCCTCTTTCCTTCCTCAGAATCGCATGTGGCGCAAGACTCGATCACGCACACAGGGCTCTCTCTGTGTTGGAGCGGACCCCAACAGGAACTGGGACGCTGGCTTTGGGCGTAAGACTTCCTATGGGGCAGGGATGGGACGACGTGGCTTCTTGCCCTCCTTTTCCACTACCGCTTTCTGGACCCAGCAGTGAGGAAGAGTGTGGGCTCTTGGCTCCGCCTGAGGGTTTTCTGGGTTGGAGGTGGCACTCAGGGACTTGGGCCCTCATTTGTAGGAAGAAAGTTCCTTGTAGATGGAATTTGGGTCTGAGAGCTTCTCTTGGAGAAGATGTCTAAATACCAACTCTGGCCTTCCTTGGCCATGCCCCTGTGTAAACTGGTTTCTGCTCCACCCAAACCTGGCTAGAAAAGGAGGCAGGGCTCCAGGTGATGTGATGACCGGCTGTTCCTTAAGCCGGGGGAGGGGGTGAGGTCTCCCTGCACCCCACTTCTACCCAACTCCATGAAGTGTACTAGAAGCTGTGGAAGTTGTGGAAGCCACATCACCTGGACTAAGACCTAGCTGTCTCCTCTGCCTTCCCACAGTCGCCGGAGCTAGTAGCAACCCCTGCTCGGACACTTACCATGGCAAGTTTGCCAACTCTGAAGTAGAGGTCAAGTCCATCGTGGACTTTGTGACAAACCACAGAAACATCAAGGCCTTCATCTCCATCCACAGCTACTCTCAACTCCTTCTCTACCCCTATGGCTATACATCAGAACCAGCCCCCGACAAGGAAGAGCTGGTGGGTGATGACCCCACTTGCCCTTTGTCCAGGCTCCTTCTGTGTCCCCACTTTTAGGAACCTGGGTTTCACCCCTCAGAGCTAATTAAGGGCTAAGAGCCTACCAGTGTCCCCGGTGCCCACAGTCTCCTGATGATTTGGGGCGTCTGGCGGGATGATGGGTGTTGACCTGCTTCATTTGCTGGGAAACAGTAGCATAGTGCGGCCGAGTCCTTCTGTCGCATGACAGAGCAAGAGGTGAGGCTAGACCCTGAATCTGTGAACTCCACCTGGAGCTGCGGTGTGACCAGAGGGAAGACGTGGACCAGCCGTCCGGTGGAGATGGAGGGATCATACTGCTGTGATAGTGTAGGGCTGACCTGAAGGGCGGGCCCCATGTCCTCTGCCAGGGGCCCGATTAGCTGGTGCCTACTCCTGGGCCACCCTGACAGTACTTGGGCTCCCCTGGCCCTGACAGTGGCTCCGCTGGATCTTTCCTCCAGGATCAGCTAGCTAAGTCTGCTGTGACGGCCTTGACATCTCTGTATGGGACCAAGTACAAGTATGGCAGCATCATTGACACAATCTGTAAGTTACTGGTGGCCCAGAAACCGGAGTTAGCTGGCTTTTCTTGCCTCAGCTGCTCAGATCTGGGAGTCGCTGGCTGAACCCTTCAGAGGGTGGACAGTGCCTTTTCCTCATCTGAACCCTGTCTTTCCTGACACTGTTCAGTAGGCTCCTCTGAGCACATTTGTCCTCTTATCTTGAGGTTACATCTGGATCCCTGCACGGATGAGGTGGAACTCTGATGGGATTTATAGGTCACCATAAAATTCTGTTTAAGAAACGCCTTTCCACCCCTTCCTTACACGGTTCATGAGATGTCCTTGGGAGGATCATTGCTACACGCACGCGGAACACAGTCGGCGCGTGCTTACTGAGCCCCTGCCCCTGCTCCGCACCAGGCCTCGACTTGTGTACTTGGAGTAGAGAGTGAATAAACGGAGCAAACACCATCTAGGCAGGAGGCCTGCCCATGTGCTTAGAAACCACAGTGGATTAGGTGAGAGCTGGAGGGGGAACAGCAGAGCAGGCCGGGGGCATCAGGAGTACTAGGGTGGAGGCTGAATACCAGGGTAAGAGGCAGGCTTGCAGACAGAGAGGAATTTGGGCTAGTGCTGAAGGAAATGAAGGGAAGCCAGGGGAGGCCATCTGTCTAGGTAATAGGCCTCCAGGCAGAAGAACTTTCTAGAGTAAAGGCTGTGCTCTGTGATGTGGTATGGGGTATTTGGGGAATTTTTTGCCTCAAAAAATTTGCCTGGCAGGCAAAAGCAGGACAAGGTGCCAAGGTGGAAGCGCAGCACACCAACCACTTTGCCCACTTCCGTGCCAGTGGGCCCAGGTTTTAGGTGGGTAGTGGGCTGCAGTGGGATCCCAGGCTTTCTTTGGAAACAGTTTCTAAGCCGAGTCCAATGACTTTTGCTGCATTTAGTGTCCTGAAGTAAAATTCTACTGTGCAGCCTACCCCCTCTCCCACCCTCTGCCCAGTTCAACACAGCAGCTCTGTCAGCCAGCGTGTGCTGCAAAGCCGTTGAGATTTTCCCTCTAAAAGACAGGCAAGAGGCTTTGCCTTGACCAGGAGTCTTTGGAGATGGACTCCTAGTCACCCAAGTATGGGTCTCTGGCGTAGTTAGAGGTGTCGCTGAGGTGACTGATGGGTGGAGACAATTTTCAGACAGGCTTTTGCAGTTACACAGACTTTTGGCATCCCCCATAATGAACAGGACCACCACTGCTGGTTGGTGGTCTCTTGGTTTAGACCCAGCAGGAGTTTCCTGGAAGTCCACTGTGTGTCAACAGCAGCCTCCAGAAGATATAGACTCTATTTGGCACTACACAAGGCTTGGGCTTCGGGTGCTCAGTCCATGTCGATATCTGCAGTGATCAGCCCTTACACTCATCTTTGTTCCTACCTCAGATCAAGCCAGTGGGAGCACTGTTGACTGGACCTACAGCCAGGGCATCAAGTATTCTTTCACTTTTGAGTTGCGGGACACTGGGCTCAGAGGCTTCTTGCTGCCTGCCTCCCAGATCATCCCCACAGCTGAGGAGACATGGCTGGCCCTTCTAACCATCATGGACCACACCTTCAAACACCCATACTAAAGCAGCACTTTACCCCCCTACCCCTCCCTTCTCCCTAGCCCCATCTGGGTAACTCAATAAAATTGATTGTACAAGAAAAAGAACCTTGGGGTTTGTGTGTGGAATGCACATGGAGTACCCACTTTTTTAGCTGAGGCAGAAGTGATTAAGTTCCTGCAGGTCTCAATGAAAATGTGTGGTGGATGAACTAGATGACCCCTAAATTCTCTTGCATTCCAGGGTCCCATAAAGTTGCATCCAAGAGGCAGTGGGGTGGTTTGTTCATATCTTAGTGGCAGGCAACAGCCACAGCTGCTAATCATATGCCTGGCACCCCATGGTGAAGAGGAATTCAGCATGTACAGCAGTCTAGCTGATGGTATCATCTTTAAAAGCAGTAACCTGGAGTATGGAATATAATAATCCTAGTGGCCACTGCTGTCCAAAGGCGATGTTGCAGGTGAATCAAACAGATCACTATAAGCACAATGTGGCTTCCCACTACAGAATTACATTGGAAGAAAACACTGAGGTGAAATGAAATCATTTACTGAAGATAAAGATTGAATGTCCAGCCAGGGACATTGAGTAACTGTAGTGTATTGAGGACACTTTACCAGGAAGAGTGGAAGCAGCTTACATTTTGTTTGCCAAATCCTCTGCTGCCTCTTGTTTCTGTCCCCCACCTTCCCATTTCCCTGTCCTACCCCTCTCTGAAAAGCTGACCTTCCTTGGCACGGTGACCCTCAGGCCAGCACATTTTCCAACTGGCATCACAATACAGGGAGTTACCACCTTCTTTAAAGCAAGAATCGACCTTGGTTTCCTCTGTATCTCCCGACTGTGAATGTGGAGTTGGGGGACATTGACACAGAAAGATGCAGGTAGACAGGCTGGGGTGAGATTGGGGGCCTGTCCCTTTTTCTGCCACTTAGATTTCAAGATGCTTCCAGCACCAGAGTTAAGTCTTGTCTTTTCCATAGAAAATGGCTTGAAGGTCAAAAAGCCTTTCATCTTAGAGTTCTATTTTTAATACTGTTTTTCCTACCAAATATTCTAAAAATTAGAATGAGGCTGATTACACATAAATGTCTGCATACTAAGATTAGGAGACAAGGTGAAAAGGTCTTTCCAGCCAGGCACGTGGTACAGCCCTGGAATTCCAGCATGAGGCGGGCAGAGGCAGGAGGATTTGAGTTTGGACCCAGCCTCAGGCTACTCAGAAAGACCCTGTCTCAAACAACAGCAAAAAAAGAGGTAGTTTAGACTGAAGATCTGGTTAGACTCCCTTATCTTGTGGAAAGTTTTCCCCCTCAAGCCACGTGACAAGAGACAAAGCTGCTTAGTTTGACCAAGCAAGAAGTTAGTCACCAGCTTAATACACGCTGGCAAGAAAAAATATTAGGTTAGTATGATGACATTATTTTATAAATAACAGATGGTAGAACTCAATTTAAAATAAACTGTGCTCTCCCTGCTAGCAAGGGCCACCTTGGCATTCCATTTCCAACATCAACAGTGCTTGGAATACAGGTGCCTAGTAATTGTTGAAAGAACTCTACTTTTACTGAGAGGGGTTGGGGGAGAAGGAGGAGGAGGAAGAGGAGAAGGGACAGACAGACACAGACAGACAGACAGACACTGACTCTCTGTGTAGCCCTGGCTGGTCTGGAACTCTCTATGAAGACAAGCCTGACCTCAAACTCACAGGGATCCTCCTGCCTCTGCCTCATGAATGCTAGTATTCAAAGCATGCACCACCATGCCTGGCCTGTGTGTCATTTAGGCTTGTTAAAATATCCATGTCCAAATTATTATGAATTCTCAGAAGTGTTCAAAAAGTAAGGTTCTAAGCAAGCAAGAGTTTTAAGTTGGAAAGTTGGGGCTAGGGATGTACCTCAGCCAGCAGAGTGCTTACTTAAGCAGGCATGAAGCCCTGGGCTTGATCCCCAACACCTCAAAAAACTGTGAGTGATGATGCACACCTATAATCCTAATGCTTGGGAGGGAGAGGCAGGGGGATCTGCAGTTCTAGGTCATCTTTGGCTGGCTTGGGAGATATGAGACCCTGTCTCCAAAAAAAAGTAAGGGCTGCAGCACTGTGAACTCCACGGGGGCAGAGGCTGCACTGCCTGGTCAAGTGCATGACAGTTAGTGATATGTATATCAACAGGAATTTTGATAATCAATGCATATTAGAGATATGGAACTTTTTTGTTCTTGTTTTTTTTTTTTTTTTTTTTTTGAGACAGGGTTTCTCGGTGTAGCCCTGGTTGTCCTGGAACTTGCTTTGTAGACCAGGCTGGCTTCAAACTCACAGAGACCCTCCTGCCTCTGCCTCCTGAGTGCTGGGATTAAAGGCATGCGCCACCATCACCTGGCAAGATACAGAATTTATTAACACTTACAGATATTTCAGCTGAGAGAAAAGCTTTATGCTACTGGCAGAGTTACAAATCCACAGGTACAAAGTATATAAATTTATAAAGTTAAAAGATAACAATTTTAGAAAATACTACAACTTAAATGAAAGTAAGTATTAATAACCTTGAGGACATAAAGGTAAATAAAAAAGATTGAAGGAAAAGAACCAACATTTCAAAAGAAAAGCAGCTATCTCCTAAAAGAAGAGATAAAAAAGCCAATAAAAGATGAAAGATAGTGATCCTCAGTAAATTCTTCTATATTAAAGGAAAACATATTTCTTTCATCAGATTGCTGGACAACAAAAGACCGGCCACACAGTGTTATCAAGGGTATGAAGAAATAAATATAGCCTTGTACCACCAGGAGGAGGAGAACTGTCTGTACATTTGGCAATTTGACTTTCTTAAAATTAAATATAGTACCTCTTTGACTCGGCAAATCCATTTGAAGGAATTTATGAAAATATTTGGACTAAATTGCAAGATTGGAACAGCAAAGGAGCCAAGTGCGTCACAAGGAGCCTTCATCAGGATCAATATTGGCACTGTGAGACCCAGCCACACGGCAGGAGACATAAGACCTGTGTTCACCTAGAAAAACCGTTCACAGCCCAGTGAGTGAAAGAAGTTGGTTACAAGATGGAAATGTTTAAAACTGGATTGTGTTGATGGCTGAACAGTTCTCTAAGTTTACTAAAATCGTTGCATTCTTTAAATAGCTGAGTTGCAGGGCATATGATTTATATACCAATAGCTGTTTCTGTAAAAAGTTAGCTACAAAACAGTATGTTATGAGTATCACTTTGTCACACATACACACACCCTCGAGGATACATCCCCGGTGGCAATCGTGGTGCCCTGGGTAGAGGTGGTGGTGGGTTTCTCTTTATACTCCCCAGTTTCTTCAATGGCTTTGAGTCGGCTTCGGGATGGGGAGGGCTATGTGTAGAGTTACTTAACACTAGCTTACCAACAGCAACCGTAGGAATGGCCACCTTAGCCTTTGCTCAGTTCTTTTTAGATAATTTGTCTAAACTCTGACCCTCTGTGCCAGCATCTCCTTTCACTACCTTTGCCTGGTTTACATTTAGAAAGACTGCTATTCCGGATAGCTGTGTTACTAACAAGGCTGGGACTACACAGGTTCCCAGTTGGGACATACTTTAAGTCCTCTGCTGTAGCTCTGGTGGAGACTCCCAAGAGCCTTTTCTGCTCACATTCGGTTCCCATTGCAGTCTCGGGATTGTATTATGCTAATGTGGAGTCTCCAGGGCCTCTCATAGGGCTCTGTTTCAAGTGAACTCATTTCAGGTCTTTCTTAGGCCATTCCAGGTGGTTCTCAGTGAAGCCCAGGGGCCATCACTTCTCCACGAGAAGTCTTCGGGTAGTCTCTTGAATTAACACTCGGATATGGGTGTTTAGCTCTCTGGCTTTGGCCTGAAGCTGAAGTATTATTGAATGCAGCCCAGATATGACTTCACCCATTCCCTCACCAGTGCAGAGCTATTCATCATCTGGCAACTGTTCTGTGAGGGGAGTGAGGGACTAGGTGGATTGGAAGGTGCTCAGAGGCTCCTGCCTGAAGGACTAGGGAAACATCATTCTGTGAACACACTAAGCCCCAGATGTTGCCTGGAGGAACTTGAGATGAACAGCCATAACATTTGCAGTGTCCGGGCCAAGAAGAGCTTTGGGAAAAGCACAGAGCACCATCAAACCTGAGAACCCGTCAGAGGGTAATGAATTCTTCCCTGAAGCTTTCAGGATCCGCATTCATTTGGCAACTCAAACTGTGAGCATCATCTAAAAACCCCAGAGACGGAGACAGCCAAGTGTTTATTGCCAAAGAAAAAGGAGAAAATTAAAAGTCCCTCTTAAGCACAGCCACAGTGCCAACTGCAGCTTGAGAAGAACATGGTGAAGTAAGGCTTCTGCCGACATGGGTTGCAGCAAGAAGCTGTGCCTCAGTTTCCCCATGACACACAGGCCTGGGACCATTGACCAATTCTTGAAATTTGTGTCAGCCTAAACCAGAAATGTTATCAAAGAAGAAGAGCTCAGATGCCAATCACATCAGCATGCTTTATTACGTGAACAGTTCCGTCTGTGAGGGCACTAGTCGGTTAAAATTTTGTAACTCTCATTCTATAAGTGAAAGCTCATTATGAGTCTGTGGACAAACAAACACACAAACAAACCTCCCAAACTGCTGTTGCTGGAGACAGGGCCCCTGACACAGACAGTGGAGATGTGAAAAGGCTCCTAGGAACAAAAACTGCAGGAGCCCCGTTGAGTTTTGCATAGGTAAGTACGAGGCAGTTTCCAAACAATGGCACTGATGAAGAGGGAAGGGCACCCAAAAGCCAATCACAAGTTACAGTCCCATGGGTAGACCGAGGAACCACCCAGGAAGCCTGAGCATGGCTGAGTCTGCCCTAGAAAGCAAAGCCAAGAGCCCACAGGGTTTTGCTTGGGAGCCACCATTCTTGGGTTGAGTCCCAGCTTCTCAGCTAGTCAGTATTACAGTATGAAGTGTCTAACCCCAGTCTCCTCTTCTGAAAACGGGAGTGCCACCTCACTGGACTGTTGGGAACACGGAAGGTGTCAAAACATACCAAAGAGACCCCTGAGCGCTGCCTAACACATAAACTGCTGGTATTA